TGATGAAGGATGTTACCACCTTTCGGGTCACATGAGCATACGATGCCGCTTCTACCCATTTGGTGAAGTAGTCAATGGCCACAAGGATGAATCTATGTCCATTGGATGCTTTCGGCTCGATGGGTCCAATAACATCCATGCCCCACATTGCAAATGGCCAAGGTGAAGCCAATACGTTGAGTGCAGTTGGTGGGACATGAATGTTGTCGGCGTATGCTTGACACTTATGGCATTTCCGCACGTATTGGTAACAATCCCTTTCCATGGTTGACCAATAGTATCCCGCTCTGAGGATCTTTTTAGCCATGGCGGGCTTGGCCTCTTCTGTTAGGCGGATTATCTTGACGTTCGGTCTATGGTCGAATACCGAATTCCGCTTGGGGAATGGGTATTGATTTTTTTGGGTTTTCCCTTTTTGGAGAAGTGCCTCTGAGTAGGCGAAAGTGGGTTGAGGATCTTATGTATCCCAGAGTATTATTTAGAAAGCCTCTGCAGGCTTAGCTTCACTCGTCGCTTGAGTTGGAAAGCTATTTTCCACTGAGGAAGTCTGAGTCCTTTGACTCGAATATTTCATTTGGATGATCATTGCTTCCATTGGGGAATCTTGCTGATCTTGCTTTGATAGCTTTTACTAGGGATTCGGCCCAAGAGTGTGAGCTGAGAAGTCTCTGGGGAGTATTATTTCGGCAAGCCTCTCCAGGCTCAGTTATTCTGTATGTTTATTGGATTTTCTGAACCTTGCCTTTTTGTCAATTTTGGCTTTTTCTGTATTTTAATGTATTCAAAGATGACACTTTGGAGGAGGTGTATCAAATCTTTGATGTGCTCAACATATGGTATCAGTTTGGGATTTCGGACTTCCCACTCACCTCGTAGTTGGTAGATGACTAGGGCCGAATCACCAAATACTTTGAGCTTTAGGATACCGTTGTTGATGGCTGGTTGGATTCCCAGCGCGCAAGCTTCGTATTCAGCCATATTGTTTGTACAATCGAAGTTGAGTCTTGCCGTTATGGGAATGTATTTTCCTTGTGGAGAGATTAGCACTGTGCCAATCCCTCGTCCAAGCATATTAGAAGCTCCATCAAAATACATGGTCCATGCATCATCTTTA